TTTTTTTTCAAAATTTGTTTATTTATGGATACAAGAACTGGAGTACAGGTGGGGGTGGGGAGGATGTGAGGACTCCCCAGACATAGAGTGGGAAGCAGAATAGGTGAGTTGAGTGAAGGGAGCAGCGGGAGACAGGAGAGGTCTGCTGTGCCATGTCGGTCACTTGCTAGCTGAGGGTGGAACTTGGGTTGCAGTGGCTTTGGCTGGCTTTACAGTGCCAAGACTTAACCCCTTGTGGCTCTTTTTAATTTTTTGAGTAGTTAAGAAAATAACTCAATTTTGTTTAGTTTTATATTTTTGTGAATGGGTATCTTTAGAATATGTGTCTGATAGCCTTAGTTTTCAGAGATCATGCTCTTCTGGTAATGTAATGCATAATTAAGAGTTGTTTCTCTCAAATTCAGAGAGTGTGTGCTTAGCAATTTTGAACTCTTACAGCGACTATCTAGTCATCAATAAATTGGAGTGCATTTTATAGCCCTTTTATTCCTGTCAAGAAAATTATTATTTCTGAGGTAGCCTTCACTTGTAATGCTAATATTTCAGACAAAATAAAATATACAACATTCAGATTATTAGGGTAAATTTGACTAAGTTGCAGCCTGATGTGACCAACAGACTGCTGGTCAGTCTATCATTGCTGTTGATAATAGTAGTGTTTGCCATATCTTGAACACTTCTCTTATGCTAGGCACAGTGTTAGCTATTTTACATAGAGCCCTTCCTGCAACTTTGCTAAGTGTTATCATTTCCGTTTACTTAAAAAAAAGAAATTGAGAAGTTAAATAATTTGTTCAAGATAATAGACATAAGCTATTGGCAGAGCTGGGATGCCAGGGTTTAATGCTAACTTCATGATTTTTCTGCCTGTCCACACTACCTGGAAGTATCAGAACTTCTGTATCAGAAGTTAAAGACTATATTAACAAATATTACTTCCTACCTATACTGATTTGATCATCACAAAAATGGCATAAAGTAGGTGGTTTTAACATTTTTCAAGAATGAAATTGAAATAATAGTTATGAATATACTAATAAGGTGAGTACCTATTGTATCTTAAGAACTATGTTATTAAGTACTTGGTCTCATTTAATCCTCACAATAATCTAAGTGAAATCTTGTCGTGTGGCGAAGGCTAGAATTGGAACCAGTTGCCCCTTAGGTTAAGCACCCCATTCTGTGAGGTCATGCCATCTTTCAAGACAGGTAAAAATCAACAGGATACTGATACACATTAGAATAAAATCCGACTTCTATCATCATGGCAAATATCAAAAGTTGAGAATTGTTAGAACTGAAGGAGAAAGCTCTGAACAGAACAAATTGCAGCACCAGTGACAGACAGTGAGATTTTAAATAACTGAAAAAGTGGAATGTCAACTTTTAGGAACTTTTACATAACGTCTTTGTGAAAGTGCTATTTTTTTCTGTGTCAACTTTTAGACATAAATAGTTGAAAGTTTGTAATGGAAATAATAAGAGATCTCTTGCAAGAGTAGGAAGTAAGAGGCCTTGCGGAAAGTGACTAGCTAGAAGAGTAAACTAAAAAAAAAAAAGATTTGGCTTTGAAACTTATCAGAAGTACCAATCATATAAATTACTTTTGCTGAAACTGCTAAAACATGATCAGGGATATATAGATCAATCCTTAATTTTGTAGAAAAGCAGTGTAGTTGGAATCAGGTCTGAATTATCTGTGTCTATATAACCTTGGGCAAATCACTGACTTGCAAAACTTCAGTTTCCTTATGTAAAAAGCAGGTTTGGAGTTTGCCATGCAATCAGGTAATACCCAAGACAAGACATTTCTATTTAAAACTGGAAAACCATTGATAACCCTGTCACATTTGGTAGAAACAGATATAACTCTGGAAGGATATATAATCCAACTATAATGGAAATAATCCTCATAATAAAATCCTGGTAAAGATGAGTTCAAATCCCAAATTACAAAGGACATTAGGATAATAATCCATCATAAACAAGAATCAGTTGAAAAAAAGAATAGGATTAGATGCTCTTCCCCCCTTCCCAAGCCTTATGTAATTAATTAATATAGACTATCAAATTGTTATATTTAACATTATTATGGATATAAAAAAGAATGTATGAACAAGGAATAAGACACTAAAAATGGACAGTTGGGGAAAATCAGATTTGAGGAATAAAATCACTAATCGTTAAACAAGTTAAATAGATTAGATCTAACCACCAAGGGAATTAGTAAGCTGGAATATAGATCTGAGGAAATTGATTAGATAATAGCAAGAGAAACAGAGATGACAAATATAAAGGAAAATAAGAGATTATACAGACTGGACTGAAGAATTTCAAAAAAATTTCAGAAGAGATTTAGAGAATGGGAAACTGTCTATTTAAAAGATGATGGTAAAGAAGTTTTTCCATGGAAGCACATGAGTTGTTTAGTATTTGAACAGTACTCTATATAGCAACTACAAAACGACAAAGACAAGGTAAAGATATTAAAATATGCTGTGAAAACAAGATTTAATTTCTCAGAAAACAAGGACAATTAATCGATTGACTGTAGGTTGTAATAACAAAGAAGAGAATAGAATGAGGCTAGTACATAGAGAAAAAGTCACCACAACTTAGAATTTTATGACCTGCTGTCATGAAATAAAGAAACATTTCTTTATTTGCTAAGTCTATGGCTGACAGAAGGAAAGGTTGAAATGAAGTCTTATGCATTTTAATTATGAAAAGTCCATTCAAGTTTCTCACTTGGAACCTTCTATTTTAGGTAAAATCCTACTTTTCACTTTCCTAGCTAGGTTCTTGCAAGTTAAGCAAAAGGGAATGATACAATAGTTACCTGAAAATACCATTGTGAGCCCAACTTTAAAGCATAAGAGGAGTGGAAAATGTATAGCACTGTGGAAGTGTTTCAAACATTTAAATCTGGGAAGTGATTTAAAGTAGCAACAAAATGTCCTGCTTGATTCCATCAGTGTATGAGAGTATTTTACAACCCAGTATAGTGATTGATGTTAATTACCCTGAATTATAGAAATGGCCATGTTATGTTTTGGAAATCATAAATACTTAAATTTGTTTAGGATAATTTTCACCACAATTTTAATATATGAATTTGGGGGGAAATTGCTATTACACTGAAAACTGACTTGGGTTGTTGGATGCCTTGTAAATTAAGTACTATAAAGCCTCTTTTGATTAAGTCTCTTGGTTTCTAGACATCATTTAGTCCTGATGAGCATTAGTATTTATGTCTTAAATATCGTTACCTGTGAAACTGCCCTTCATATCACTTTGTTTTTGAGCTGATACTTGACAAATACCTTGTTTTTTTCACTTCGCACATACCCCTAGAAAAGGGAATATCCAGTATCCTAGTGGTGGTAATTACATGTCAGTAACCTTTGGTATCTTCTCACTTGAAAGCAGAAGACTATCCTCAAAGCTGTGTTAACTCTATCTAGCAGTGACTTAGATTACAGGTAAATATGTGCGGAGTCTCAAATTATAAATACAGATTTTCAAAATATTTTAAGTAAGTTGTAAATAACTATACTTTTCCATGTAAATGACATAGAGTGGCAGGAACTAATGAAATATTCTCTATGTTTTTACTTTTTACAGCCAGTATCTTGAAAATTATCTCTGGATGAATTACTCTCCAGAGGTGTCCAGCAAGGCCTACTTGATGTCCATCTGCTGTATGGTGAATGAGAAGTTCAGAGAAAATGTCCCTGCATGGGAGGTAAGATTTGTATTACTTCCTATCTTTCATGGTGTATTCATTTAAGCCATTACAAAGTAACAGAAGTTTTTAGTGATAATAAATAATGCTTTTTAAATGGAATTTTACTTAATAAAATAACCATTGAGAAAAAGAATAGGTACAATACTATTTTTTCACTTTCACACTCTTCAAACTAATTTCTGTGACTTAGAAAGTTATAAATGTGGAATTGTTTTTCTGCTTTGTGTTTGAAACACAGAATGACATGTATAACAGGTGTCTCTAAGGTATAGTGATATTTACATTAATTAGTATAAATAGATCAGGCTCAAATGAGAATTTCTCCATGCCCTATTTCATATCAGAATAAAGTCATGTTTTCAATGTCAAGATAAATATGTAATAATTTCAGTTTTCTCTTTGTCCCTGGTTTTGGATTTGTTTTCCCTTTTTGAAATTTCTAATAGATTGACATTTTCCTTTGTACTCGTGTAGAAGGTGCTGGGTTAATAGAGATCCAAAATCTAGGTTTCCTTTGGCTTCCAGGAAATGGTCAGTCCATCAAAAACACTTCTTCCTTCACACTTTTTTAACTGAGGAAAAGGCATGGACACTGACATTTCTTTTGAGAGCATGGTCTCCAAAGTGAGAAGATGTTAGATGTTGAGATAAAGCCATTGGCATATCTCAACTATTCATTAAGTGGCAGCAATCTTAGGGCGAATTGGATCCCAATGTATCTTGTATCTTTTTCAGAGATCTTAGAGATTTCTTGAAGTTGCTTCAAACTGCTATAGGAAGAAAGAAGGGACATTTTTTTGAACCAGAGAAATGAATTGTTCAGTTTACATTGTATTAAAAGACTGCTTTAGGAATTAGGACATGAAGTAGAGAAATGACATTACAGGTTAAGAAAAAAGCATACACAGAGATTTAGTAAGTAGAATTTTGATTGGATTTCATAATTAAAGTAGCATTAGGAAAGGATGTTATTTTCAATAATAGGCAAGGGCAATTGAATATAATGGATAATATGCTACTTCCTAAGATAGGTAATAGAAAGTTGAGGGATAGCTTGAAAGGTACATAATTGTTGAATTGAGTTTTGGATATATTGAATTTAATATTGCAAATTTTAGAATATGCAAACTAAGGAGAGAACTTTGAACTGAAAATGTATATTTGGAATCATTAGCATATATTTGGAGGTTGTAGTGGAGGAAGAACAATAAGCCTAGAACTCCAGATTCTGCCATTTAAGGGACAAAGGGAGAGTCACCTTGAGCACATTGAAAAGGAATTGAGGGCTGGTAAGAGTCATTGAATTTGACACGTGAGTGTTGTGGATGTTTTAGAGAACTGAATGAAAACCACTCATGTAGACCATACGTATGAAGCACTTGTTTGTGAAAGAAGAGATGTGACAGTAACTAGATGGGGAAGAGAATCAAAGAGGCTTAAATATATTGCATTATCTTTTTTAACCTTATTTATATGTAGTAGTAAAGAGCTACTACAGAACAGCAGAGGTTGCCCTTTAGAGTGGGAAAGTTAAAACTGTTGTGATTTTTTTGTAATGTCAAAAGAATTAAAGCATTTCAGTTCCATAATAAAAAAATAAAGCCTAACCTAAATGTGGGCATAATTCACAAAACAATAAAGGAATTAAAGCAATTTCTTTCACTAGCAGGTATCGGATAGTACTGACAGAAAACTGTACTGGTTTGACGTACTTTCACTAACTATAAGTAAACTAATAATCTTTTTGTAATTATTTTGTTTTGCTAATAGACCCTAGTAAGTTAAAGAGAAAAAAACTGGGTGAGCAAGCCATTTCAAAGTAAATTTTTATTCTTTCTTTTTTCAGACTTTTAAGAAGAAACCAGACCATTTTCCTTTCTTTTTTAAGTGCATCTTGAAAGCGGCATTAGCTGAAACCGATGGTGAATTTTCACTCCATGAACAGACAGTCTTACTCCTTTTTCTCGATCATTGCTTCAATAGCTTGGTAATTTTGCTTTTCTTTTGGGGAAAATTTCAGAAGTTTCTTGCTCTTTAAAGTTGAATGTAGATGAGATTGTCTCTCCAGGCAACTCCTCATCCATGCTAGTGGTGAATAATACCCAAAATGTTTTTTGAATGGCTTCCCAATAAAATCATTTTTAAGAACTGTTCACATTATAGTAAATTTGGACTTCTTTCTGTCTATGGTCTAAGAAAAATGATGAGAATTGAAATTTTCCAAAGGTGCAGGATACAAAGATGAGAAGAGACAAAAGACTCTCGTTAATATGAGCTTTCAATACTGAGTTCTGTGTTACAAACTGCACACAAAAACCTGCATTCATTACTATTGGTCATGCTTCATGCACAACTGGCAGATCAGTAGAGAGCTGTATGTTGAGCTGATTAATTAAGAGCAACTGTGGATAAACTTTTGAAATCTCTTGTGCTGTGTATGATACATATCCATCCTTCATAATGTTATCATAAAAACTTCCAGTAATCCTTCATTTGTTTTCCCCTACTGTGGTTATCTGAAGGAATATACCTATGAAACATAAAAAGCTTCTGAAGTGTTAGAAGCTTAGACTCTTACAGAAGAATGCATGGAGTTCTTTCTGGTCCTGAAGACTGAATGTTGATAGATGGGTGGTCTTACTTGTGTCCAATTGCCATGTCCATGGGTCTCATAAAGGCATAGAAATGATTTATGATGCCTCCCAGAGGCACTACTTTTAGCTCTTTTCATGCACTAAACCAAATAAAGAGAAATATAAATAGCTATGGCTCTTACCAGAAATTGACCTGAAACAAGTTTAAATTAGTATTAATAATCTGGTATTAAATATAATTATCTTAAAATTGTAATGTAGAAATGTGTTATTCTTTTATTACCAAAATGCTTAATTTTTATTTTCAGTGTCTATTCATATACAGTAACACCTCATCATTTGAGGTAATTGTATTCTGCAAGTTAGTTACAAATGCTGAATTAGCTAAAATTGAGCCATAGCTACTAGGGGCAATATGGGGCTAGGTTCCTACAAGCCTCTAGTCACAATATTCTCTTCAACCAATAATTATATGATCTGTTTTATGTGTGTTTGTATGTGGAGACACTTTACTAAGATACAGTATTGATTCATCAGAATTGACTCATAGCCAACAGCAGTATAACTTAGGTTGGACTGAAAACATGAACTATGTATCTTCTCCCTAAAGCACATTGCAACCTCTTGTACCTTGGCCTGTTGTACCACATTTCATCTTTGTGGTTGGGGCTATTTTAAATAGGAAAATCACCACCAAAATGCACAAAACTTAAAAAAATGTGGCACCAAGTGCACCACAAAAAGGATGCTTGTATAGACCATAAGAACTGAAAAAAGAAGGCAGAGGGTCTCCTCCTCACCTGGAAATGTGCATGTTGCAATGCAGCATTTTCCCTGCTATTCTATTAATAATTTGAAAATATGGTGGCAGTGTAAATGGAGTGTGTTCCTTATATAGAGGGGTTAAAATGCTAGTGTGTTTATAAATTGTTTTTCTTTGTGCCTTAAACAGGAAGTAGACTTGATACGTAGTCAAGTACAGCAGCTTATCTCCCTTCCTATGTGGATGGGTTTACAGTCTGTAAGTATCTAAAAGTTAGAAACATATGTCTATATATGTGATAAGCAGACATGTAATTTTGGACTGTAGCTTTAATATGAGTGTAAAAATGGTAGCCAGAGCTCCCTTTCCGGCTTAGAAAATTTATCAAGATAAGCGCATTATCTTACTGTACAGGTAGTGTTTTTTTATTTTTAAAGTTTTTATGTCCAGTCTAAAAGATGCTTAACCTATTTTCAATATTGTAAAATGAAATAAGGTGCTATATATCAAAACCATAGAGAAGAGGTTTAATTTAGCAAAGAATGATTGTTGTTATCCTTATTGTTTTTGTGAGACATGGAAACTAAATATCTGTGGTGATGTAGATACCTGCTTGTTTACTTGTGATGGTTATTAGGTTCATGGCTTTAAAACATGTATTTGTCAAACCTTATGCTTTGTAAAAATAACATGATTTTATTATGTATAATAGGGAATTAGAAAAAAATAATAAACTAGGGCCCTCCCTGGTTGCACAGTGGGTTAGAATGTAGCAGTATGAGGCTATCCACAGCCACTGTAGCACAAGTTGATCCCCCACCAGACCAGAGAGGTGACCCATACGGTGTGGCAGACTTCTCCTGACCTGCCCACAACTCCCCTCAGCAGTGTATCTGAGGGAATAGACTGTTCTGTCTGTTCTGTTCCCCTCTCTCTAGTGAATCCTTTCACCCCCTGCTTCTCTGGCCTGTACTTTAGACCGTGTATGCATAAATAAATAAATGTTAAAAAGAAAAATAATAAATTACAAACAACCAATTTAACTCAAATAATTTTAAACCTACTGTAATTTGCATGTTCATAGTTTCTAATAAGTATGCTAAAATGTACATATTATCTTTGAGGGCTTGTAAGTAAAGTGTTTGTTATAAAATTTGGTAATTAAATAAAAGACTCTACATTTTTAGACTCTACATTTTTAGAGATTTAACAGCATCCTTGTTTAAATGTCTAAATTGGGATTATGCTTTAAGTATAAATCTCATATTTTTTAGACTTACATACTTAATTTTATTAAACTTAAAATCTTCATTAGAAAAGACAGTTTCTTTGGGTTTGTTCTTATGAACACAAGTTAGAATTAGAGTAGTTTTTAAAAATGTAGTTATCTGTTTTCAAGTTTTCTTTGTTGCTTTCAAGGTTTATCCTATTGCTGTATATTGTATGCTTATACTCATCTTGAGGTGATCTTTTACCCTGTAAACTTCAGGTTAGTGATGGTTTAATATATTACTCTTCCAGGCACGATTGGAGTTAGAGTTAAAAAAGACACCTAAGCTAAGAAAATTCTGGAACTTGATTAAAAAGAATGATGAAAAAATGGATCCAGAAGCAAGAGAACAGTATGTTGACAAAGCTTCTTTCCATGTTGTTATTATTATTCTGGTTTGTGGACCTTAGATAGTATTGGCTGGTTGGTGCTTCTTTTATAAATTGTTGAAACAATTTATAAGACACTTTTACTTACTTAGACTTTCCCAAGAATATTTTTCACAAAGGTTTAAAGAAGTCACAGCACCACCATGTTTTTTACTTTCTGCTCCAATGGTATGTGTCACTATCCTCCTTTCCCGTTGTTCAAAGTCTGTCTGTGAGTTGGGTGGTCTTAGTTTTCTTCACAATCTGCAAGCTATCAATACACCTTTCCTTTCATTCTTTCTTTTAATCCCTTATTCTTACTGACTTATATGTACTCCAAACATAATTCATTCATTTATTCAATAAATATTGGTTGTTTATTATTGTAAAAAACAAGGTACTGTTCTGGGTACTATTCAAGGTACTATTTCTGTAACTAAGCAAAATGGAAAATAAATCATGCTTTATGCTGTGGCGCTTATGTTCTAGTTGGGGAAAACAACAGTTAACAGATGGCTTATGTTGTATATTACATGGTGATACATTCTAAGGAGAAAAATTTATGTTGATTATAAGGATTAAAGAAGCAGACAGGTATAACTTAAATATTATAACGAAAAAATTTAGTTTTTCTTTTGTCTTTAATCAACACATTTTTTATATGTGCTTTTTATCAACAACAAATTTTATGTGTACAAATCAGCCATTAGCTTTTATGTTTTGTTTTGTTTTTTTAATACTAATTCATCAGTTGGTTAAAAGTCTGTGCGTGCAATATTTCAGTAGGAACAGTGTTATTAGCAAGGGCACAGGGAAGGTTCTGCACACTCTTTAAGAAACTTCCTTTTTTCTATACGGTGCTAGCCTCTTGTAACTGCTCTCCTTATTTACAGCTATTCCACTAGAAATCCTTTTCCTTTTTTCATACTTAATTACTCTTTTTGACTCCCCTTTTTTTCTGCTTATATGTGTGTGTGTGTGTATTCTTTTAGCTCCATCTTAATTTTTTTTTTCACTTAGGAGAATGGTCTGTATATACATTTTCTTCAGTCCTTATGGTTCCCACTTGCATTTTATTCCCCCCTTTCCTACTCAAAACAAAAAATTCTTCTTGACTTCACCAGTCACCTTTAGAACCTCACGTTGGGATTTATTTTTCAGCTATGAAAAAGAGATGCTTTCTTAGCTGGCCTCCTGGGTCAGTAAAAGGGGGTTCCTCTTT